AAGAAAATGATATCCAGAAGTTGCTCTGGCCGAGCCAATCTCCTGACATGAACCCCATCGAAAACCTCTGGGCCATACTCGACGGCAAGTCAAGAAACAACAACAAAAAAAAACTTCTAAGAGCGATCTACTCCAAGTTTTGAAGCAAGAGTGGGCGAAAATCCCACAATCTAGAATTGACGAGATGATTCTCACGATGCTCCAAAGGATCAACGAACTCCACGAAGCGAAAGGAAGATCTACTAGATATTAATTAAATTATAAATATATCAGTTCATGTGAATAGGTCTGGAATGTTTTTCTGAAAAGGTGGTGTCTATTTACTTGTAACCATGCTGTGTATATACCCTTTTGTTCCTGCGTCTGACCCCCCCCCCCCCCGAAGGATAGACGAGCTCATTTCAAGGGGTGGCAAACATACTTAAACAAATAAGTATGCGTTAGATTTTTTTTTCTCTTCTTTATAAACGTTATATAGAACAGTTGGTGACGTATGTGGCGTTGGATTCTGGTATACCGCTCTATAATATTTATCAGAATTTCGGTGGTAAATTAGATTTTTTTTTACTCTGTCTTGTGTATATATCTATAGAATTATTTTTGTAACTTCTTCCTATGCGGGTATGAATAGAAAATACTTATCTCACCTGTCCCCCGCACCCCCAACAGGCAGAAAAAAACGAGGTCTGCCAACTTGTTAACAAACAATAAACAGACTAATTTTGATTTGTTTTATTTATTCAGTTGTGCTTATGTTTTTTTCCCCTTATGTCCAAGTTCGGAATTATTCTCTGCAATACATTTCCTAAACCTTCGTTTCGTGAATAGTTTTAAACTTATATTCCAAACATCGGAGTGCCTGAATACAAGAACAGGAATGGCCTATTAAAATACTAACTATTTGGCATATAATTTGTGGCATAAATCCGTGTTTAAAAAAGAACCATGTTTTTGTAAAACGGGAAACAACTATATGTAATGTCCCCATCCTACGAAGGACAGAGACGACTTGTGCCCCCCCCCCCCTCGCACTAAACAAGAATGTTTTCATATTTCTAAGTTACCAGTTTAACTTACCTTCTTCTCGTGGGTCGCTACTGGAATCTTTCCAATTCAGACTTCCTCCAGCTGTGAATTCAAATCAAATGTTATTTTTATCATTCTGAAAACAATAGCAGAATAAAAAAAAGAGGGAAATTTATCTGATATATATTTGTTAAACTGTACACTATAGTGATGCCGTTAATGCATTATTGTATTGTATATCATTGTCCTTATTACACCTTACTCAATGAACCAAGCTACTCGTGAAATCAGAAAGCTTGTGGGGAGAATATCAATTAACCACGTTTAGACAAACTGAAAAACCACGTAGAAAAAAACAACTACATAACTAAGTACGTATAAGTTTACAAATTGAATAAGACTGAGCCGAGCCCAATGGTTACCGTGTAGAGTGTGTACCCGAGCATCCATATTTCTCGCCCCGTTACTGCTAAAAAAAACAACAAAAAAAACTGTGCTCCACACTTTGGATGTTGACTAAATGACTTCCTTGGAGACGGCTAGCGCAGACAGCCCTCGAGTAGCTTTGCGTGAAATTCCATAAACAACAACAACAACTCCAGCAAATGGAATATTTGACAAATCGTGGCCTAGTGCGTGATGGACAGCAAATCAAAGGACATAATTTCGAGACGTATGCTGCTGAACACCTTTCGCATTTTCAGCCATGGGCGCATTATAAAGGAACAGCCATTCCCTTTATGCGATATGGTGAGTGCTGCTAGTTGGCTGCCTACACTCTAATCAGTAGTTCGAAATTAAGGTCCTGAAACCTAGGGTCACTAAAAAAATATTAAGTTGTAAGTTTAACGTGAGTTGGAAGTTCCAATTCTACATGTTCTGATTAACAAGCTGGATATTTAATAAGATTAACAAACACTTTTTTTTAGGTGAAATGTTTCTATATTATGAATATAAACTTACGTTATCGTTATTTTCATTACAAGAATACTGTATTAAGTATGTAAACACATTTTCCAAGTGGAAATAAAATCTATTTTTATACTGCAAAGACCTTGCACAGTTGCTGAACATTTGAGCTGGCTGCTAAATAACTGCAAGTTTAGACGTAACGCATCATTCAGGAAGGAGAGGCAATCTTGAAAGAAATGAACCAAACTTTATATTAATTATCCCTGAAAACGTTTTCTTCTTTCATTGCCATGGATGGGTACGAGTATGTCGTTCCCTGGGAGGAACTCCACCATGGGAGTTTGGAATTTTGTACCATCATAAAGAATGGACATTTCCATTCCAACTACCCAGTGTTTACCAATTTAAAGTTTTAGGTGAGTAGTGAAATATTAAAACAAGTGTCTTGTTGTTTTTTATTGTACATCTAAAGATAAACATGCACCGTGAGAGTTATTTATAAACGTGGCAGTGAAAACGTAAAATATATTTGACAACCAAGTTTAAGCAGTAGTTAATGTCCCCAAATGTGATAGTAAGTTTACTGACTTACAACTTTGAAATCCGGGGTTCGATTCCATACGTTATGACAAGCACTTCCGATACTGACACTTTGAGTGTAAGTATGAACAGATATTGACACTAAGTATGAAGTAAACTTTAATTTTTTCCTTTGTACCTTTCATTAAAACAAAAACATGCTGGGGACCGTTCTTTATACAAATTATGTTTGTTTGTTATGAATTTCGCGCAAAACTACACGAGAGCTATTTGCGCTAGCCGTTCCTAATTTAGCAGTGAAAGACTAGAGGGAAGGCAGCTAGTCATCACCACCCACCGCCAACTCTTGGGCTACTCTTTTATCAACGAATAGTGGGATTGACAGTTACATTATAACGTTCCCACGAACCCGTGACACACAGATTGCAAGTCGAACGCCCTAACCACCTGGACATGCCAGGCCTGCAAATTATGACCCTAAGATGATTCGTTTTACATCTCAAGTCACATCTTCAGTTTAAACACCAGGCGTTTTGTGTCTATTATTAAATTTAAGAACATGCTAACAGTATTTGTATGTGCGACCGATGGAACAATGTATTATAATCTTTATAAATAGAAAAGTAAAAAATATGTGTATTTAATTAGTTATAACGATCGAAACTTGAATTTTTAATATAGCTGTAAGTACATGGCTTACTCTCATCGGAAATTATTGTCCCCTGGTGGGACAGCGGTAAGTCTTCAGACTTACAACGCTAAAATCAGGGGTTCGATTCCCCTCGGTGGACACAGCAGATAGCCCTATGTGACTTTGCTATAAGAAAACACACACGATCGGAAATTATTATTTATGTACATATTTATACTTCAAAGTCACTTAAAATGGCAGGTTAAATGACCTCACAGAAAAGGTTCAATTTACCAATCCAATTACGTCTATTTTAAATAAGTATAATAAAAATGAATAAATATGATATATATATAAATATACTCAAAGTTTTTAACTATGGATTGTTTTATCGTCATCATTAGTAATGAATACAGATGTAACTAAGAGCGTGCATTTTCTGAATAAACCCTTTTCAAATTTTTGTTTACATTTTTTATAAATAGTTTTTACTTTTCTAATATTCTTCACACTATATAAGTTTTGATAGTGGGTGTATCAAAAGAAGGGAATAAATATTTAATTTAGACTCAAACTACCGCTTTATACGTTAAAAAAAAGGGATTATAACACGTGGCTTATAAACCATTGAAACGGATAATTTCACGTTTTTAGAATGTTACTAAAATCGTTATACAATCAAAATAGGAACGTTGAGTTACGACTGCTTCCTTGGAACATATCTACGTCATTTCTGCATTATGATTAAAAACTACAAAATCGAATATTTCGGTATATACTTTTACATAATCTATATAATACATTTAAACCCATAAAGAACCATTATATACTAATCATGTGACTTCCAAGTCTCTAAACGCACCACCTGGAGTTGCAATGATCAAACTGTTGGTTTCAACTGAACAATGTCTTTTGGCGCGGCGTATTTTTGGCGCTAGTGTAAAGTGCGGGACGTTACCTTTTCTAGTAGTTTTTATTTTGTCATTTGTTTTAAATAAAGTACTTTAGAACAATATTTCATGTGTCTTAGAAAACAAAATTAGGATAGATTACAAGGTACTTAAACAGTTAACTCATATTTACATATTTAAAAAAAGAGAGAGATAAAGCTATTTATTTATACTAACAGTGTTGGAAAATTCTTTATATGGATTGAAAAAGAAAAACATGCAAAAACTTCAAATACGAAAAACTGATAAAATGTATGGTTAAAACCTAACAAACATTAAAACAGTAATAAAATATTTTATTAAAAACCTATCAAATATTAAAACAGTAATAAAATATTTTGTTAAAAACCTATCAAGTAATATAACAGTAATAAAATATTTTGTTAAAAAACTATCAAGTAATAAAACACTAATAAAATATTTTGTTAAAACCTATGTAATACTAAACATTAATAAAATATTTTATTAAAAACCCTATTAAATAATAAAACATTAATAAAATATTTTCATTAAAAACCCTATTAAATAATAAAACAGTAATAAAATATTTTATTAAAAACCCTATCAAATATAAAACAGTAATAAAATATTTTGTTAAACAGAGAGCAGTAAATGAAGACTTACCAGCTATGTAAACTGCCATTGCGATACCAAGAACAAGAATGAGTAATACTACCAAAAGGGCAAGAAAAAGTACAATCGTGCGGTGACGGAGACTTGCTTCTTCAGTTTTGAAGCGTAATTTCCAAAACTTTAGACAAGGATAATTTTCTAAAATTGCACAAGTGGGAGCGCTATTCTTAGTGGGTTTTTTCAGAGAATGCTTTTCTGCATAATGTGGAATAATCAGTCCAACTTCTGAATTGCGGTAGGTTGGATTATCCGTCTGTGTTAGGAAAGAAAATTCTCACTAAGAATATGATTTTTCCTGATAAAATGTCAAATTACTATTTGATTTGTTAAATAAAGAAAAGTATCTGTGCTCAATAATGATAATTTACAAAACTAATATAAATTTGTTAAGAGATTAAAATATCTAGACATTTCATCAAAACTATGGAACAGTGAATTATTATATACTTTTTAATTACATTAGTTAGTAAATATTACTGCTTCAAGTGAGGCTACTGTAAGATTATAACGTCTGTTTATTAATCAGATAAACTGAAACAGCTGTACTGAACAATTTTTGTTTTTCTTCGCCATATATTAACCTAAGTTAATTTAGGTATGTAAATAATGTCATGACATATCGTCGAATTCATTATTCAGTGCTATACAGCAGACTAATTGTTTAATGATTGGGTATATGTGTTAAAGATTTCTTTTCTTTTTCTGTGACGTAGAGGCCTAATGGATTATTTGATAAGCCGTACCCTTTGCTGTGGACTACAGTTTCGCCTATTCAAGGCTCATCAGCAATGTTTGGATCAACAAACCAAAGAAATACCATTAGGTCTATTATAATAGTGAAGTGTATATAATATTCACTAGGTTTTGAGACTGTTTTACTTCACCATATAGTAACCAAAATTAATTTAGGTATGTGAATAATGTTATGACATTTCGTCTAATTCACGACCAATCAAGGAATGCTTTAGGCCTCTACGTCACAGATCTTCTTTTCAGTTACACCTCTGGTGAAAAAGAAAAGAAATCATTAACATGTATATCATTGTTTTTGTTCTTTCTATACGTATACAGAATACGAAATTAAAAACGTCGACAAAACGAATTAATATTATTCATAAATCGTTTAGCACAAGTCACTGGCTGAAAACGTTTTAAAATTTCCAACCCAATTTATTTCGGGTTATAAAGAAAAATCAAAGTGCATGAAAATTTGACAAATATCAGAGTAGAAACAGATTACAACCAAATTTATTGCTAATTTCATATCCACATATTTTTTTAATCTTTACAAATCTTATGCATTTTTGCTTCATTAGTTTGTAATGGTTAAATAATACACCGCGTATTCCTTCCAGACCAACGTGTAAAAAATTAAATACTTGTTGAAACATAATGTTGTAAATAGAACTAAAATGTTCACAAAGGTTCTATGGAATGTCCTTACATTTATCTTTGACCTTTGTACTAATGTTAAGATGTTAATTTACTATTGTTATTGTGTTTTTTTCCAACATATATTTCAAAGTCGTAAACAAATCCACTTGCATTAGCATTTATGTGGATTACTTTTATAGATTCAATGACACCATGGACTTTGTATATGGGTTCCCCTTTCTGGATGATATTAAAGTTATTATTTACATAAAAACAATTTCTTAGTTTATCAAACCGATTTCTTAGCATACTTTCTGCAATTAGTTAAAATCGACAATGTTCTGTCCAGCAAATCCCTCATGACGCCATCTATATAAGACGTAAAATTATAGGAATGCCAAGAAATTGCTCAATTTCAGACGATGCTGTGCAAAGGCATTTACCGTTTTTTTTTTCTACATTGTAAATATTTGTTTGTTCACACAATTGTGAGATAAAATCATTATCAAGAAACTGCGTGAAATGTTCCAATGTCGTTGACGGGATCGGCATCTTTTGTATTCCGCCTCAAACAAAATTGCTGTTTATTGTTTGTTCTCTTTGATCTGTGAACTGGTGCTGCAGTAGATACTTCATCATCAGATGAGCTAAGCCCCGGATCTGTGAACTGGTGCTGCAGTAGATACTTCATCATCAGATGAGCTAAGCCCCAGATATGTGAACTGGTGCTACAGTAGATACTTCATCATCAGATGAGCTAAGCCCCGGATCTGTGAACTGGTGCTGCAGTAGATACTTCATCATCAGATGAGCTAAGCCCCAGATATGTGAACTGGTGCTGCAGTAGATACTTCATCATCAGATGAGCTAAGCCCCGTTGCAATGTTTTCAACTTCATTCTCAATATTCAGATCAAGTTGAGTCTCATCAGCAGTCTCAGAATTATTATTATTATTCATTTGAATACGGAGGGGTTGTTTTTCTTACATATTTCAGTATCACTTGACCCCAGGTCATCATCTTATATATTTCCTAATGGTGTTGAGTCTCTCATCAGCAGTCTCAAAATTTTTGTTTTTTTTCATTTGGATAGGGGGGAGTTGTGTTCCTTAGAAATTTCAGTATCATTTGACTCCAGGTCATCATTTTATATATTTCCTAATGGTATTATTATATGTACGTTTCCTTACTTACAATAAATATAGACATGCTGTGAAGTAATACTGATATCTTATTATATATTTAAGATATTTTACACACTATAGTTCCATTTATGATACTACAATTAAAATTAGGAAATACATAATTATATAACTTGATATTATATTTTCTCAGAGAATGTATTTAATTGTTTGCTATTATTTAGTATGAAGATAAAACAGGTCCAAAAATTTAAAGTTTTAATGACTTTTTTGACCGTTTCAGCCCAGTGATACATTTATCAGAGTTGGTAGAGTCTATATGTAAGGATGACCAAGGTACTCAATAGGTCTAATACAAATACGCACGCTAAAATCAACAATGACAGATAACCTTACTTTAAATTTGTTTCTCTACCCAAAAAACCTATAAACAAGGCAAGAAACCAAAATAAAATTATTATTAAAAAACTGTTAATTTATTTTATTGTGTAACATCACAGAGATAGGTGCTACATATAATACCTTAAGAAAGAGAACCGTCGTGAATGTACGAAAAGGTGAATAGTGGAGAAAAAATAAGTAGAAAGATAGATTTTAAAAATACTTCTGGCATTTCTTAGTTAGGCCTAAATTTGTGAATCGTCGTGAATGTACGAAAAGGTGAATAGTGGAGAAAAAATAAGTAGAAAGATAGATTTTAAAAATATTTCTGGCATTTCTTAGTTAGGCCTAAATTTGAGTTTTGTTTTTACAAAATGTCATTTAAAATTGGTTAATCACTATATCTCAGAATTTCAGAGCTAAGGATGGACATTTTATCAGAATTTTGAGATGCTATTTTGTATGTTATAGAATTTCAACTTTGTAATGAAGTTATTTCATCATCTGTAAGAGTTTATTGTTACCATATCGGTGTGTTGTCGCAACATAGAAATTAAATATATATATATATATTTCTAACACATTGAAAAACTCATAAGTTTATCTAATTACTATTTTTGGTAGATTTTAAATATTCGTCTGAGTACTATTACAAAACATTAAACTATTTTTTCTTTGACTTGATAGAATCACCAGTAAAATCTGAACACTGTATGACAGAGGATATATAAAAACTTCACGTTAGCCCATTGTGTAACTTCGCACAAAGAAAACAATAACAACTAACACAATACTTTAACTTTCTGTTCATACTTTTCGAAAACTGTTAAAACCTTTTGATTAACATCAACTTTAAAAACTTTCTCCCATCAAGTTATGAGACTAATTTCTATTGGTTAAGTGCTGATAATTTACAACATTGATAACCTATTACAACTGAACACAGTTCTTCTGACAAGTTCTCTTTCTGTGTTTATTAACAATTATTTTTAATTCTATAGTATTACATTTCCTCGTTTTCACATCTTGTTCTCTCAATAATCATTTCATTCCACTTGCTTGCGTTTATTCTTGCTCGGTAATTTAGCTATTTTTAGAAGAATTCAAGTGTGATTCTCGTTTCTTGGCCTTTTGTGATTACTCTAACCTCATATCAACGTTTTTTTCCCCAACATTATTTTCGTTTCTATCTAGTATTAGATGTAACTCATTTGTAAACATTCTACGTGATCCTTTGCTCAGTCTTCTTGCTCAGACTTGCTATATATTTCACTGTGATGAGAGTTCTTTTGTGTCCTAATGTTTTGTTATTCATGTTGATGATTGTGGTTTCTTAAAATCTTTTATCCAGGTTTAAGACTTCCTCACTCATAATTTCGTTAACACGGAGATGTCCCACATTAACTTGATGCTCCACGTCTGTTCCCAAGAGTTGACAGTGGGCAGTGCTTGTTGAGTCTAGCTGCTTTCTCTCTCTCTCTAATTTGTCACTTCAAAATTACGGACGATTAGGGTGGACCTCGAGTAACTTAGCGCGAAGTTCAGGAAAAAAACAAACGTTTTGTTTGTTTGTTTGTTTG